ATGTGCCTTATACAGTTTACCAAAATTCCTGCTTATTAGCAACTCCCATTCCCCGAATATACCGCAATGCGGTAGCATATGCATCACTGACTGATGCACGTCAAATACAGAGAAAATAGATTATTACCAAAAATAGTTCGTGCCATTGCTTGTTCTAGTGGCGATAATCCCACCTGTGGAACACTGACCAATATTGCTGTTACTTATGTAATGCAAGTCTGAAAGAATGGGGCAAGTAGATACCCTGCAATTGCAGACTTACACACGTGCATTGGAAGAATAAAAACATTGGGGCATATACACTAATATTTTCTTATCATTTGACTGCCTCACATGTATTATATATATCCCCAGAAAAAAAAAAACTTGCACTATGTTAAAATGATAATGATAAGAAAGATTCTTCAAAATGCAACACCTTTTACCAATCAAATTATTTACTTATGCGTCCGTCATGAGAAAGAAATTTGCTTGAAATTGACTGTTCGCCTGGAAAATGTTTGTTGCTTTATAGTGAATTAAATGCAGTAGTGAATGGCAAGTCTTTCCTTCGTCAGATCATCAGCTTTATAAAGAACGTCACGCTGGCTATATTAGGATCTCGACCAGGTGAGTGCATTGCCTCGAGGGATACCCATTTGACCAGGGAATGATTCGGCAGATCTCTGAATGCCAGCATATGGATCAACTGGGGTTTGTGAACCAACTCCGTCTTCACTCCATCAACTCCCAGCGAAGGAGGATCTAATTCCTGCCTTCGAGTAGATCTCCAACTGGAAACGCTTTTCATTCTTCAACCTCGCTGTCTATTTGGTCTTTCGGTGAACGTTTAATGCTCTCGGCCAAACACCGACTCGCCATGAGGCGAGACTGCAGGGCCCGAGGAATTCCTCAATCGAAGGCTTTCAGTGAAGCTGCAGAAGGCAGACTGGAAGAGGCCCGCGCCCTTTGTGCTGCCGTCTTGACATCCAAATCAGAGCCCTTGTTTGCGAACAAGTGTTTTTTGCGTTTCTCTGACACATTCTCACAGTTTTTTTTTTTTTTTATATACTTACTCTTTGACACATTTTGGCACAAGCTGACACACTGTGGTGCCGTTGGTATATATGGATGTAGATACATTGTTAAATAGATGTATAGATAGAAAGATGTCACACATCAACATATTGCGGATAGGTCCTCTATATCGAATAGCCTTGGCAATTGCCATAATACAAAGTGTAGCTGCAATCTACGGCGAGAGGACGCAGTAGGACGGCCTGTCCCTTGACTCTGACCCCTGCATGAAGCCAGTACTCTTGCAGCTGAGTCGATCTAGAGGGGCTGGCCTGGCGGGAACCTGACTGATATGGCAAAGCTATTACTAATGTCCATTTTATTATAGAAAAGGGTATTAATGTGAATGAATCTCGTTTGCACTGTGAAGCTATTAATTCTTAGTCTTAGTCTTCAATATTTGCCATAATGAACACTGTTCACCCTTTAATGGTAACTTTCGCGACAGGGATGCGATAGATGTCTATCTATTTATATATACATATGTATATGTATGTGTGTGTGTGTGTAGATCTATATGTGTATAATATTCCGATATATCTATAGATTTATGAATGATTTTTGAAAGCATTAAAAACAATATATTGCGTATAGTTATTCCCCAAAACTGTTAACATACTTTATGAGAAATAGTCCCTCCTCTCCTTCCCCTTTTTGGAGATTCTGTGCGGGACATTGTATTTTGTCAGCAACTTTCAAAGAATACTAAGTGTATTCGACTGAAATGTTCGAGAAAATGGGAAATCCGAGGGTAAAGCCGCTTATGATGTCTTTTCAAAAAAAGTCTGACGTGAGCGACCATTGGACGCTTTGGCGCTAAATTCAGGATCTCCATTGTCGACTCGAGACAATAGTATTAAACCATTTTTCGTGGGACTTGTTCGTCTCAGTATTGGGTTCATGACAAAGAAATGCTACTTGCATGGTCGAGGCTTTACTAGAGAAAAGGACATGAACGAGTTTCGTTCCATAAATACCCAAGAAAATAAATACAAGAATCGTAACACATATCGTGATGAGAATTATTCATGGAATTTATCACATCACTCACGAGAGTTTAGGAGAATATAAAATATGGAATGAACAGAGAAAGCACGAAAGATTTAGTAATCCTGACGTTCGTAGGGAAGAGGCACTGACGTGGGTGCCACGGGAAGGTGATCGCCCACGGGCTGGTAACCGCCCACGCCGGAGGTGAAGCTCAGCTTGATGGGGATTCCTTCGGGAGCGGTGTAGCTGGAGAAGGGACACAGGCATTTACATATAGACACCAAAGCTTTGCCACACACAACGTTATCAGATTAAGCTTATCAAGGGACATGGTTCTTTGCGAAGCCTAAGGGACTCACCTCCATCCTCCCGAGGACTCCTGGCCATCAGCCTGCTTTCCGGCCTCGTTCCTGACGATGCCGTTTCCAGTCTCGAAGTCGAACGTGTACTCGCCGTAGGCGTTCTGTGTGCGGTCGTCCTTCAGGATCGGGATGGGCGTCTTGTAGCTGTCGGCGACGACCACGGCCACCAGGCAGGCAAGCTGTGTGGGGATTCAAGCATCAGAATCACACATATAGACACTTTTCATGAACTTCTTCCGTATGGGGATGGGGGACAGCCAATAAAAACTTTTTTTCTCAACAAATTTCCGTTTCGACACAATACACCGTTTTTTCAATCATGACCATAAATTTGTGTTCCAACAAAAGAAGCTAAAACACTCACAGCAAGAAGACGTTGCATTGTGATGGCTGTGCAGTACAGTGTGCTCGTCCGAAACACACAGGTTGTTTATATACTGTAGATGGTCTAGAGAGGGCGGGGCTGTCTCGTTGTGGGCGGAGTTTCAGGGATTCAGCATAAATGAACGGTTAGAAAGTTTATCCCGAGTAAGTTAAAAAAAAAAAAAAAGTATATGTATCTACATATAAACACATACAACACACATCTGAATATATGGTGCATTTTAGATATGTCCGTTTACATGTGTTTATGTATATGTCTTTATATGCGTATGCATTTATATACTCAGAAAAGGGTAGATACAGATATGAATATGTGTATATATGAATATATATACAAATATATTTAATTATGTGTGTATGTGTATATACATGCATATATAAATATATATACATAAATATATAGTATATTTATTTTATTTTATTATTTATGTGTGTGTATGTGTCTGAGTACCTACACGTGTATATGTATATATACATATATGTATATATATATATACATATATGCATATATATATACATGTGTGTATATATACACAAAGATGTGTATGCGTGTATGCACTGTATATAAATATATGTGTATATGTATATATAAATATATATATTACTCGCGTTTATTCAGATATGAAGCTTTGTTCATGCACATAGTGTCTCTGCTCCATATAGGTGTCTTATTTTTGCTTTTCATTGTATTGAATATCCTATATGCATATGAGCATGTATGTATATGTATATACATTATATATATATATATATATATATATATATATATATATATATACGTGTGCGTATACTTATATATACTCATATATATACGTGTATGTGTATATATATGTATGTGTACATATACATCTATATGTGTATGTGTGTATATATGTATTACACGTAAACACACACACATATATATGCATGTATATATATATAAACACACACGTCTGTGTCTGTGTGTGATAATTTCCCATGTGCCTTATACAGTTTATCAAATTTCCTGCTTATTAGCAACTCCCATTCCCCGAATATACCGTAATGCGGTAGCATATGCACTGATGCACGTCAAATACAGAGAAAATAGATTATTACCAAAAATAGTTCGTGCCATTGCTTGTTCTAGTGGCGATAATCCCACCTGTGGAACATTGACCAATATTGTTGTTACTTATGAAATGCAAGTCTGAAAGAATGGGGCAAGTAGATACCCTGCAATTGCAGACTTACACACGTGCATTGGAAGAATAAAAACATTGGGACATATACACTAATATTTTCTTATTATTAGACTGCCTTACATGTATGATATATATCCCGAGCAAAAAAAAAACTATGTTAAAATGACAATAATAAGAAAAATTCTTCAAAATGCAACGCCTTTTACCAATCAAATTATTTACTTATGCGTCCGTCATGAGAAGGAAATTTGCTTGAAATTGACTGTTCGCCTGGAAAATGTTTGTTGCTTTATAGTGAATTAATTGCAATAGTGAATGGCCAGTCTTTCCTTCGTCAGATCATCAGCTTTATAAAGGACGTCACGCTGGCTATATTAGGATCTCGACCGGGTGAGTGCACTGCCTCGAGGGATACCCACTTGCCCAGGGAATGATTCGCCAGCCTTCGTCTGGACGCTGACGCTTTTTTTTTATGGAGGGGGGGTTGGATTCACTGTGGATTTTCATTGTCCATTTCTAATTTCATTCCACAAGGAATGAATCATTGACAAATATGCATATTACTTGTCATACATCTTCACGAAAGAGATTGCCCCATAAACATTCACAAACTACCACCATCGTGCTGTTGCTGAGGTCAGCTCAGTTTCATGATCACTAAAGGGTCATTCTACATCAGCGCTGCCATGAGAAATTTGAGACAAATTTTGATCAGCATTTTAGTGTTGGTTACTTTTGCGGCCCAGTAATTCTTCTATACTGATCTCGTTTGCGAACATATGTTTCTTGCGTTTCTCCACGCCATTTGACACATTCTCATACAGTTTTTGATATTTACTCTTTGAGACGTTTTGGCACAAGCTGACACATTCTGGTACCGTTGGTATATATGGATGTAAATACATAGTTAAATAGATGTATAGATAGAAAGAGAGGTGTCACACATCAACACATTACGGATAGGTCCTCTTTATCGAATAGCCATGGCAATTGCTATAACAAAATGTAGATGCAGTCTACGGCGAGAGGACGCGGTAGGGCGGCCTGTTCCTTTACATCCCGACTCTGACCCTGCAAGAAGCCAGTACTCTCGCAGCTGAGTCGACCTAGAGGGGCTGGCCGGGCGCGAGCCTGACTGCTATGGCAAGGCTATTACTTTTGCCCATTTTATTGCTGAAAAGGGTATCAATGTGAATGAATCTCGTTTGCACTGTGAAGCCATTCATTCTCATTCATACTGCATTCTATATTTGCCATAATAAACACTATTCACCCTTTTATGGAAACTTTCGCAAAAGGGAAATGCGTGTGAGTGCGTGTAGATCTATATGTGTATGATATACAGATGTCTATGAATTTATGAATTTGTGAAAGCCTCAAGAACAATGTATTGCATATAGTTATTCCCCAAAACTATTAACATACTTTATGAGAAATATTTCCTCCCCACCTTCCTCATTTTTGAGATTCTGTGCGCAACATTGTACTTTGTCAGCAACTTTCAAAGAATACTAAATGTATTCGACTGAAATGTTCGAGGAAATGGGAAATCCGAGGGTAAAGCCGCTTATGATGTCTTTTCAAAAAAAGAAGTCTGACGTGAGCGACCATTGGACGCTGTGGCGCTAACTTCACGATCTCCATTGTCGACTCGAGACAGTAGTATTAAACCATTTTTCGCGAGACTTGTTCATCTCAGTATTGGGTTCATGACAAAGAAATGCCAGTTGCATGGTCGAGGCTTTACTGGAGATAAGGACATGAACGAGTTTCGTTCCATAAATAACCAAGAAAATAAATACAAGAATCGTATCGTGAGGAGACGTGAATTTAGGAGATTATAAAATATGGAATGAACAGAGAAAGCACGAAAGATTTAGTAATCCTGACGTTCGTAGGGAAGAGGCACTGACGTGGGTGCCACGGGAAGGTGATCGCCCACGGGCTGGTAACCGCCCACGCCGGAGGTGAAGCTCAGCTTGATGGGGACGCCTTCGGGAGCGGTGTAGCTGGAGAAGGGACACAGGCATTTACATATAGACACCAAAGCTTTGTCACACACAACGTTATCAGATTAAGCTTATCAAGGGACATGGTTCTTTGCGAAGCCTAAGGGACTCACCTCCATCCTCCCGAGGACTCCTGGCCATCAGCCTGCTTTCCGGCCTCGTTCCTGACGATGCCGTTTCCAGTCTCGAAGTCGAACGTGTACTCGCCGTAGGCGTTCTGTGTGCGGTCGTCTTTCAGGATCGGGATGGGCGTCTTGTAGCTGTCGGCGACGACCACGGCCACCAGGCAGGCGAGCTGTGTGGGGATTCAAGCATCAGAATCACTCATATAAAGACTTTATAAATTCATCCTTACTGTGGACAGCCAATAAAAAACTTTTTTTCTAAACAAGTTTCCGTCTCGACACAATACACCATTTTTCCAGTCATGACCATAAATGTGTTCCAACAAAAGAAGCTAAAACACTCACAACAAGAAGACGTTGCATTGTGATGGCTGTGTAGTACAGTGTGCTCATCCGAAAGGCGGCGGCTCTTTATATACACGGTCCACAGTGGGCGGAGCTGTATGATTGTGGGCGGACCTCGACCGTTTCGTTAGGCAATGAAAGTACGACCTTGAATAACTACATATAGAAAATATGAATACATACACCTTGTGGATATATTTACATGCAAACATTGCATGTGTGTGTGTGTGTGTACATGTAAACCCATATATGTAAACATATGTGTATGTAGATGCGTAGTTGTGTTTGTGTATGCATGTATACATATACATATGTGTATTTATATTCATTTATATAGGTATGTGTGTATGTGTGCGTATATATATAATATGATATATATGATACATATGTGTATGCATATACAAATATATGTACGCATAAACATATATGCGTGTGTGTGTATGTATAACGTGTATATACATATATTGTAGTAGGAATATTTGCTCACTCCTTGTCTTACCCCCCCCCCCCCCCCTTTGCAATGACGAGTCCATGGCACGAGTCAGATTTAATGAAACCACTGGAAAAAGGGCACGAGAACTAACATCAGTAGTCTCATGAGTTTTATTATCCTTTCATGTATCACGTATTTTTAGAAACATCAGTTATACGGGGTGCCACCCGTAAGTATTGTGCGCAAGCGCATGTGGGCTTAGCTACGTATATGTTAAAGGACATTTATTGTTACTCTCTTGCCCTGTAATTTATGTGAGGACACTATCTTACTAAGAGGATAGTGTCACATATAATGAGTTGTAATTAATAGTCCAGTTTTAGCAACTTAAATGGATGGCGTCCCTAGTGACGTTATGCTAGTGATTTGCCATGTCATCATTAGTGACGTCATAAACCGTGACAATGCAGCCACTCACATGGATACCCACATGGATATCCATGTTGACGAGACAGAAGCCAATACCCTGGCTAGAAGGCGAAGATACCCGCAGATCTGGTCTCGCCTCCTTACCGCTCGGAACCTGCTGCTTTTTATCCCACAACGTCAGGTACGGTTTGTATGTAGTTTGCCTGGAACTCACCAATGTATATATTTGAAGCTTAGTGACTGGTGCAAGAGTGGTGAACATGTAAACTAGGTGCTAAGGTAAGGATAAGTCCGATATGCGAAGCTGAGCCTCTCCCGGGCCATGAGGGAAGCCCGGCCTGTGTCGACTAATGTGGACACGCTAACAGTGTGTCAGCTGGTGCTGACTCGGCTTTTGTCCTTACCCGCCGTGGTGCCCAGCCACAGGTGCTAAGACTAAAATAAACAAGCAGTGTAGTGTAGTGGTGTTCATTTTCCCTGGCTAATTGGTGATGACAAAAGTTCAACGTAATATACTGGTAGATATAAAGTACTCATTAATGGCTTAATTTAATTACCTATGTACATGTATTATTGAAGGTATAATGAAGTATAACTCACATCAGATTACATAAAGAATAAGGAAAGTGCAGATCAGGCCACCAAGAGACACTGACTGAACTACCCCTGTATCAGGCATAACGTAGTAGTACTGCGTTACAGTTACCTTACAGTACTGTGTATATATATAGAGAGATCTGTAATTGAGTACTTACATATGCATGTTAGGGTTAAAGTCCGGTCAGAAAAGAACTGCCCACCCCCCTGCCGCATTATCTCATGATTTTGAATGCAAGTTCCTCTACGAACAGACAGATATGTAGATTGATTTATATATAGCGCTCTATATTTACCTACACACTAAGGATATTATGGTGTCGACAAACGGTAAATTTGCACGATGACTTCACAATATACTGATAGTGTGAAGCATAAAGGTAATGGGTATATAAGAACATAACAGATATAGATGTCAACCTTTTATTGAGCGAATCTGGTGTGAACGAATTTCGTTCAATAAATAATAAAAGATAGATATGTTATAGATCATTTCATATTCGCATCGATATTAGGAAAGCAGGAGAGTTCAGTAGTCCTGACGTTCGTAGGGAAGAGGCACTGATGTTGGTGCCACGGGAAGGTGATCGCCCACGGGCTGGTAACCGCCCACGCCGGAGGTGAAGCTCAGCTTGATAGGGATGCCTTCGGGAGCGGTGTAGCTGGAGAAGGGACATAGGCATTTACATATAGACACCAAAGCTTTGCCATACACTTCGTTATTAGATTAAGCTTATCAAGGGACATGGTTCTTTGCGAAGCCTAAGGGACTCACCTCCATCCTCCCGAGGACTCCTGGCCATCAGCCTGCTTTCCGGCCTCGTTCCTGACGATGCCGTTTCCAGTCTCGAAGTCGAATGTGTACTCGCCGTAGGCGTTCTGTGTGCGGTCGTCTTTCAGGATCGGGATGGGCGTCTTGTAGCTGTCGGCGACGACCACGGCCACCAGGCAGGCGAGCTGTGTGGGGATTCAAGCATCAGAATCACTCATATAAAGACTTTATAAATTCATCCTTACTGAGGACGGCCAATAAAAAACTTTTCTGAACAAGTTTCCGTTTCGACATAATACACCATTTCCCAGTCATGACCATAAATTTGTGTTCCAACAAAAGAAGCTAAAACGCTCACAACAAGGAGACGTTGCATTGTGATGGCTGTGCAGTACAGTGTGCTCATCTGAGAGGCGGCGGCTCTTTATATACACGGTCCACAGTGGGCGGAGCTGTATGATTGTGGGCGGAACTCGACCGTTTCGTCAGGCAATGAAAGTATTACCTTGAATAACTACATATATGGAAAATATGAATACATACACCTTGTGGATATATTTACATGCAAACATTGCATGTGTGTGTGTGTGTGTACATGTAAACCCATATATGTAAACATATGTGTATGTAGATGCGTAGTTGCATTTGTGTATGCATGTATACATATACATGTGTATTTCTATTCGCACATAGGTATGTGTGTGCGTATATATATTTATATGATATATATATAATACATATATGTATGTATATACAAATGTATGTACACATAAACATATGCGTGTGTATGTATAATATGTATATACATATATTGCAGTAGGACTATTCGCCTTCTCCTACTTATTATCCTTTCATGTATCACGTATTTTTAGAAACATCAGTTATACTTCTCCCTCATGGTCTCGTGGTGGAAATGCGGGGCGCCTCCCGTAGGTATTGTGCGCAAGCGCACGTGGGCTTAGCTACGTATATGTTAAAGGACATTTATTGTTACTCTCTTGCCCTGTAATTTATGTGAGGACACTATCTTACTAAGAGGATAGTGTCACATATAATGAGTTGTAATTAATAACCTAGTTTTAGCAACATAGCTGGATGGCGTCTCTAGTGACGCCATGCTAGTGATTTGCCATGTCATCATTTGTGACGTCATAAACCGTGACAGTGCAGCCACTCACATGGATACCCACATGGATATCCATGTTGACGAGACAGTAGCCAATACCCTAGCTAGAAGGCGAAGATACCCGCAGGTCTAGTCTTGCCTCCTTACCGCTCGGAACCTGCTGCTTTTTATCCCAGAACGTCAGGTACGGTTTGTATGTAGTTTACCTGGAACTCACCAATGTATATATTTGAAGCTTAGTGACTGGTGCAAGGGTGGTGAACATGTAAACTAGGTGCTAAGGTAAGGATAAGTCCGATATGCGAAGCTGAGCCTCTCCCGGGCCATGAGGGAAGCCCGGCCTGTGTCGACTAATGTGGACACGCTAACAGTGTGTCAGCTGGTGCTGACTCGGCTTTTGTCCTTACCCGCCGTGGTGCCCAGCCACAGGTGCAAAGACTAAAATAAACAAGCAGTGTAGTGTAGTGGTGTTCATTTTCCCTGGCTAATTGGTGATGACAAAAGTTCAACATAACATATTGGTAGATATAAAGTACTCATTAATGGCTTAATTTAATTACCAATGTACATGTATTATTGAAGGAATAATGAAGTATAACTCACATCAGATTCTATGAAGAATAGGGAAAGTGCAGATCAGGCCACCAAGGGACACTGACTGAACTGCCCCTGTATCAGGCATAACGTAGTAGTACTGCGTTACTGTTACCTTACAATACTGTGTGTATATATAGAGAGATCTGTAATTGAGTATTAATATATGCATGCTGGGGTTAAAGTCGGGTCAGAAAATAACTGCCCACCCCCCTGCCGCAATATTTCGTGATTTTGAATGCAAGTTCCTCTTCGAACCTGTCTTTTTTAGATGTAAATAAGAACAGACAGATATGTAGATCGATTTATATATGGCGTTCTATATCTACCTACATACTAAGGATATTATGGTGTCGACAAACGGTAAATTTGCACGATGACTTCACAATATACTGATAATGTGAATTAAGCATAAAGGTAATGGGTATTTAAGAACAACAGATATAGATGTCAACCTTTTATTGAGCGAATCTGGTGTGAACGAATTTCGTTCAATAAATAATAAAAGATAGATATGTTATAGATCATTTCATATTCGCATCGATATTAGGAAAGCAGGAGAGTTCAGTAGTCCTGACGTTCGTAGGGAAGAGGCACTGGCGTGGGTGCCACGGGAAGGTGATCGCCCACGGGCTGGTAACCGCCCACGCCGGAGGTGAAGCTCAGCTTGATGGGGACGCCTTCGGGAGCGGTGTAGCTGGAGAAGGGACACAGGCATTTACATATAGACACCAAAGCTTTGCCATACACATCCTTATCAGATTAAGCTTATCAAGGAACATGGTTCTTTGCGAAGCCTAAGGGACTCACCTCCATCCTCCCGAGGACTCCTGGCCATCAGCCTGCTTTCCAGCCTCGTTCCTGACGATGCCGTTTCCAGTCTCGAAGTCGAACGTGTACTCGCCATAGGCGCTCTGTGTGCGGTCGTCCTTCAGGATCGGGATGGGCGTCTTGTAGCTGTCGGCGATGACCACGGCCACCAGGCAGGCGAGCTGTGTGGGGATTCAAGCATCAGAATCACATATAAAGACTGTTCATGGATTCCTTCCTTATGAAGGACATTCAATAAAAACTTTTTTTCCTCAAGTTTCCGTTTCGACACAATACACCATTTTTTCCAGTCATGACCATAAATTTGTGTTTCAACAAAAGAAGCTAAAACACTCACAACAAGAAGACGTTGCATTGTGATGGCTGTGCAGTACAGTGTGCTCATCTGAGAGCGGCGGCTCTTTATATACACGGTCCACAGTGGGCGGAGCAGTATGATTGTGGGCGGACCTCGACCGTTTCGCCAGGCAATGAAAGTACGACCTTGAACAACTACATATATGGAATGTATGAATACATACACCTTGTGGATATATTTACATGCAAACATTGCATGTGTGTGTGTGTGTGTACATGTAAACCCATATATGTAAACATATGTGTATGTAGATGCGTAGTTGTGTTGTGTATGCATGTATACATATACATGTGTTTTCTATTCGCACATAGGTATGTGTGTGCGTATATATATAATATATATATATATATATATATATATATATATATATATATATATATATATATATATATATATATATATATATATATATATATATATATACATATATTGCAGTAGGACTATTCGCCTTCTCCTACTTATTATCCTTTCATGTATCACGTATTTTTAGAAACATCAGTTATACTTCTCCCTCATGGTCTCGTGGTGGAAATGCGGGGCGCCTCCCGTAGGTATTGTGCGCAAGCGCACGTGGGCTTAGCTACGTATATGTTAAAGGACATTTATTGTTACTCTCTTGCCCTGTAATTTATGTGAGGACACTATCTTACTAAGAGGATAGTGTCACATATAATGAGTTGTAATTAATAACCTAGTTTTAGCAACATAGCTGGATGGCGTCTCTAGTGACGCCATGCTAGTGATTTGCCATGTCATCATTTGTGACGTCATAAACCGTGACAGTGCAGCCACTCACATGGATACCCACATGGATATCCATGTTGACGAGACAGTAGCCAATACCCTAGCTAGAAGGCGAAGATACCCGCAGGTCTAGTCTTGCCTCCTTACCGCTCGGAACCTGCTGCTTTTTATCCCAGAACGTCAGGTACGGTTTGTATGTAGTTTACCTGGAACTCACCAATGTATATATTTGAAGCTTAGTGACTGGTGCAAGAGTGGTGAACATGTAAACTAGGTGCTAAGACAC